AGTCGGGGATGGGGTCCTAGTGGATGGGGAGCTCTGGGAGAGCTCCTGAAGTCCCAAGGAGCCAGGAAGACTTGTAGGGGGCTGGGGAGTTGTCTAGGGGGCTCTGCTGGCTGTTCAAACCTCTCCAGGCCACTGGGCCAGGTCCAGTCCCTGCCTGGCTACCAGCATCACCTGCCTATGCCAGGGCCTCTCCTGGCTACTGAGGGAATGGATTTGGCTCTGACAGCTCAGGACCAGCAGGGAGCAGTGGCAGGGAGTTGGCAGCCCCCACAAGAGCTAACCCTCCGCCACAGTTGGGCAGGGCACCTGGAGAGATCCTGGAGGTGCAGGGGAGTCACCGCATGATCAGTGGCCATGTGCCTCTCTCCAAGAAGGACCCCTTGCCCCTGCACTAGCTCCATTTTCCCGTTTCTTCTCCCTCCACATTTTTGGCTGTTGCGGTCTCCAGCCTTCAGAAGCTGTGATTTTGGGCAATAGCAGAGATGACACAGGTCAGATTCCCTGCTCACAAGAACTACCTGTCCTTTCCAGGGTTTATGCATGATCCAGACCTCCAGAGCCATGTCCACACAGCCAGGAGCATGAAAGCAACCCATTGCGGGGAAACTGAGGCAGGCTCCAGAGAAGGAGCTTGCTGAAGGTCAGACCTGGGACGGAGCTCTACCAGGCTCAACCCATGCACTCTTGACATTTCACAGAGAGATTCAGAATTACCCAGTATAACTGGCCCCAGCCTGGGCTGGCTCCAGCGGTGAGCAGGGGTGGCCCAAAGTTCCACAGGACCTGCCTGAACTGAGCTCCCCTGATGGGCAGCCCAGGGCTTGAGGTGTGCCCTGGTGTTTCTAATTCAAAAGGACCTGCTCAGCTCACAAAATGGGTCCCCACATCTCCCATCCCTGCATCTCTGCAGCCCTCTTCCTGCGGGGCCCTCCCTGCACCCACGCATGTCCTCCCTGTCCCAGACACACCTGCACAAACACAGTACGACATGTGCAAACAAACATGCTCGCACACAGGCACACACAGGGATGGTATCACCGGCACACACATGCTGACCATTTGTCATGTATTCATAGACACGCATGAAGACAGGCAGGCCAACTTGTTTGCACACCCATGAGGGGCTCACACACACGGTGATGGGTATGCACACAAGCTCACACGCACACATATGGTCATGAACAAGTGTGGACATGTTACCTGTGTGCGCGCACACGCACGCCGAGCTGCTTGCATGCACAGGTACCTTCATCCGCACCTACCCAGCCCAGCTCACACCCACCCATGTGTTCCCACAGGCGGGTGCGTGGCCGGGAGTTCCCGGGAGCCCCGTGTGCCCCCCCTCTCCCAGTGCCGCTGTGGGCAAGCCAAGAGGGAATTTCCAGCTGCAAAGCTGCAGCTGACAGATTTAGAGGCTGCCGCCTCAGTGCTCGCTGGGCCAAGTTAATGGTTCACCCACACCCTGCTTCCCTTGCCCTTCCCCGCTGGCTGCCTGGGGGCGGGCGAGGAGGGACCCGTGGGTGGGCACCGCTGGCACCCTGCAGCGGCTCCCCTCACTTTGCAGCGTGCCCAGCGCTGCCAGCTCCGCTCCTGCCCTGCCTGGCAGCACCCAGCACCTGAGGCACTGCCCACCTCAGCTGAGAGCCCCAGTAGCCCTTTTGCAGAGGGGTCAACCAGCAAAGCCCCTGTGGCCTGTGTTGCTACAGCATGGAGGGCAGGCACAGGAGCATGGCCATCTCTGTCCAGGCTCCGGCTCTGCTGACCTCCCCTGGGGGGTCCTCTGCCCACTGTGGCCCTCCCAGCCAAGCGGGCACTGCACACACACATTCCTTTCTGCAGTTACCTAAACCCCCACGCTGGGTAAGGCTGGAGAAACCAGTTCCCATGGGCTCCTCACAGCATGGGAGGGACCACCTCGGAGACCCGCAGACCTTCTGGAGTGGAGGGATGGCAGCCTGCCCTGCTGGGCAGCCAGGCGGGCTGCTCCTCGCCCTGAGTTTGCCCACGAGGGGCACGGGCTGATCAGGTTACCGAGACATACCTGGCACCATGCCGGCCAGGTGAGGCTGCACGTGGCCCACGGCATGCCAAGTGAATGCCTCGCATGCCACCAAGCCAACAGTGTCAGCACCGTGCAGGGCTTCTCTGTGCCAGGCCCTGCGGTGGGGACTGCAGCGACGGTGGCTGAAGATGGGGTGAAAAGAATAGAGATGCCTTCAGAAAACTCATCACTACGGTGCCAGGGCAGCTGGCCATACCTCCTGCATGAGGGGTGAGCAGAGGGACTGTGCACTGCAGGCCACCACAAACATCCCAGCTCATGTGGTGGTGGGACAGAAACTGGCATCCCCAAGGGATGGTGGCCATGGATGATGAGAGGAGAGCACCCACCCGGCCTGGGGGCTGCAGAGCAGGGCAGGACAGTGCTCACCCTCATCCACACTCATCTCCTGGCTCTACAACCATGGAGAAAAGCAAAGAGCGGACAAAAAATGAGCTGAGCTGAGCTCTCCCACAGGTCCTGGCACCAACAGGAGGCTGGAGGAAGTCCGGCTGATGGGGATCATAGATGGGACAGGACGGCTCTCTGGCCAGTCCTGTCCCTGTACGGTGGTCAGTGCTTCCTTGCCCTCCCCAGGAAGCGCCATGGCACACCGACTTTAAATAGCTTTATTAGTGGAAGCTCTGCACCTGCAGCCCCTGCCGCGGGGGCCATGGGGATGCCAGGCAGCCCCACGCTGTCCCCCGGGGAAGCTGGGACTCCCAAGGGCGCAGAGCTGGGCTCACCCACGCTGTCCTTGCCACCGGCTCAGCCTGTCTCTGTCCCAGGGCAGAGGGGTTGCAGTGTGAGCCTGGGAGTGGCCCCCCAAATTGTCCTTGCCTGACCCCAAGCCATCAGACACAGAGACTGAGCTCCTGACGGACGGAGCACTTGCGGCACTGCACCACGCAGCACCAGTGGAAGCGGCAAAGGCAGTTCTCCTCCAGCACCACCGTCTCGTCCCGGTGTCCTCGCCCGCAGCACAACAGGTCGCAACCGCTCGTGTCCATGGCCGTGCTGTTGCAGACGCGGCCCCGGGTGCCCAGCGAGCCCGTCTTACGGTTAGCCGAGCAGAAATCGGGTGAGTCGGCCGAGTAGATGAGGTCCTGCTTGTCGGGAGGCTTGATGTTGTCACCCACGGGGATGAGGGTTTTCCCGTCATTGCCTCCCATCACCTTGAAAGCCCCATTGAAGCGCTCGAGCAGGCGGTCCCCCACCTCACGGAAATGGGGCATCTTCCGCCAGCAGGTCCGCAGGGTGCAGGAGCCCGACAAGCCGTGGCATTTGCACTCTGTCCTCATGTAGCTGCGCACCGCCTGGGGAAGAGATGGCGAGGTTCAGCCCTCGGCCCCCCGCCTCCCTGCCCAGCATCCCCAGCCAAACCCCTGCCTCTTGGTGCTGCCCTGGCCCAGGGGAGGTCACTGGCGGGGGGGTACAGGGGGTTTCCAAAGCACCTGCAAAGGAGTGCTGAAAGATAACGGGTCCGTATTTCACCCAAAGTTGGTGCAGATACACAGCTTGGGGGAGACAAAGGCAGAGGGCTGAGCGGGGTAGGGGCACAGGGGGGCGATGCTTGCAGAGGACAGGGAGCGTGGGGTCCTTACCAAACGCCCGGCCTCGTTGTTGTGCAGGTCAATAAGGGCTCGGATGTCATTTTTGCCTTTCTTGCTCTTGGCATCCATGAACTGCTGGGACTTCTCGTAGCCGAACTGCACGTCATCCCCACAGCCCCCCCACTCCCAGGCCGTGCCCTCCGTGCCCGGACCTGCTGTGGGAGAGGGGGGAGCCCGGCTCCTTGTCAGCTCGCAGCCACACTGCAGCAGCTCGCCCATGCTGCAGGCCTGCGTGATGGCGTGGCTCACCCCAGCCGCCGTGATGGCGTACACGAAGGCTGTCTCCCGGATATCTGCAGAAGAACAGACAGAGCCAGGATGTGGGGTCAGCTTTGGCAAAGACTCTGCAAGCAAAGCATCCCCCCACCGTCATCCCGTGGGGGCTCAGACCTCCCCTTCTCCCCCTTTGTCTGTGCTCAGTGCTGTCCCCCAGGTGATGTGCCCACCATGGAGCAGGCTGCCTGGGTCAGGAGCCATCTCTTGCAAGCAGATATGCAAAATTCGGGGGATGGCCAGGTCCTGCCAGCATTCCTCCATCCCAACTAGGCTTCCTAGGGGCCACAAATCTCCTGCCTCCCATTGCAAGGATGGGTGCTGCCCCATAGGAAAAAGGGGAGCTTGGAGAGCAGGAAGGGTCCTGGACGACCCAGTGGTACCCACAGCTTCCTTACACTACCCTCCAATGTCCCTCCATGCAGTAAAAATCCCATCCCCAGCTGCAAGTTGGCACCTGGAGAGGAGGGCTGCAAGGGACACCGTGGGAGCCACTCACCCCTCTGCAGGGTGGCAGTGATGAAGCTGTGCTGCCCGCTCTCCCCCCATACCCACTTTGCCACGGGGCACTGCCTGCCCCCCTCCCTCCGCCGGCACAGCCTCCACCCTGCAGGATTATTTATTATTAGTATTTTCTGCTGTCTCTCTCTGCTCCGGGACACGAATTCCAAGCATCTTTCCCCTGCCCAGACCTGCCGCTCGCAGCCGCAGCCAGCGGGGGATTCTGGCGGCAGGGCCATGGCGCCCTGCTTGGGGGGCTCCCGGGCTCCCCCCGCCCCATGCCAGGCAAACCCCTGCCCACCTGAATGCCAGGGCAGGGCTGGCCCAGGGTGGTGACACACAGGGTGTGCCTGAGGCATGGGGACAGAGGGGAAGGTGTGTTTCTAGGGGTGCTCCATCCCTCCATCTCCAGCACTTGGGGGGGTGGTGGGAAGAGGGGCTCCTGGGCACTGGTCCATTAGTGGCTCCACCACAAGCCCACACAGAACCTGATTCTCACTGGTGTTGGTAGGGTCTGGGCACACAGGTGCCTTTCCAGCAGTGCCACCCCAGGGGTAGATGTTCCCTGCCCTGGCCCTCCTGCCCCCCGCAAGCCACACGACCACCCGCCTGCTCCCACCTGGGGCTGGCAGAGCCGGCAGCTGGCAGAGG